ATGTCTCTGCTTCCCGCACAAAAATAGGAAGTTCAAATAATGCTGCATGATACAAAGACAACTACAGTGGTTCTTGTGATCTTCCCAAGGCAGGAGCAAAACCTCCATCAAGTGTGCCAGAAGCAGGAGGAAAGGTGTCAAATGACCTTGGAAAGCAAATGTCAAATGACCAGGGAAATGACCAGGGTTTTTTTTTGTTGTTGTTGTTTGTTTCTTTGTTTTATTTGGGTTTGTTTGGTTTGGTTTTTATTTCAATGTTGCAAAGGAAACTGCTCAAAAAGAAAAATAAGACACATGATAAGAGTGTGCTGGAGACAAATCCCATTCTGAGCTGAGATCCATGGAGGTGCCTTCCAGGTGTGGGTGTAGAAAAGACGTCTCAGTAGTTCCCCTTTGAATGCTGCTTTGGACTACAGTCCTGATATGTGAGCTGGGAAGGGGGAAAACAGTGCTTCCTACCAAAATCTCCTTTAATGTGCTAGTATCTTTATTCCCACCAGTCCTAAATTTGCATGAGGGTTTTTCAGCCCTACTCTGATTTTGATTTTCAGGTTATCTCTGCTGGTGGCCCAAACTGTGGATTTATTGCACAGTCTTTGCTGAAACTGCTGCTCCACTACCTGCTGCTGTACTGTCAGACTCACCAGGGGATAACATGTCATCTTTTCCTTTCCTAATCAGCTGGATGTCATTCAGAAAGCTGGGACAAGGAGAACTTTTCCCCCAGACACCAGCCTTCCTTGGTAGCAGACAAACCTCAAGCCTTATAATACTACTTGTACATAGCACTTATATAGCTTTACATCCTCAAAGTGCTGTACTAGCATTAAGTAATTATCTCTCTCCCTAATGGCCATTAATGCTGGCCTTTCATGAACCTCCCCCAGCTCCCTGAGGTTCATATCTAATCCAGCAATAAGCTGCTCAGAGGGAGGGGCTGGATATCTTGCAAGTCCAAGGGCTTGGATGTGTAATGAGGCTCCAGAGCAGGGGCCAGGTGCCCTGGAGTATCAGAAACACGGGGCTGTGGATCAGGTCATGCCCTTGGAAGCATCCACTAGAAAGGGATGGAATTGAGTAGGTGATACTGTGATCTTGAAATGGAGAGGAAGAAAACTTTGGCTGCTCAGAGGATGTGCACTGATTGCTCCATTTATTACCAGGATAGCATTGTGAACAGAAAGAGCAGAGCAGTGGGAATAACGTGTCAGTGTGGGCATGGGGAGTTGATCTAGGGAGAGAAAGTTAGCTAAAAATGTCAAACAAAGCTAGACAGCCATGGCAATGGGATAAAGAGGCCAGTCTGCAGATCTGTGAAGCATTAAAATAACAAGGCAAAAGGGCAAGCTTGGCAGCATCATAGGATTTAAAGAGAGGAGCAGAAGAGGATTTACTTGTCTTATTTGCTTGCAAGCAGAGCCCTCTTCCAGGCTATGGAGTGTCTCCAGGGGAGATGTTGTAATGCCACTGTTTCAGGACATTTTACCCTTGGGGAAGGTGAGGCTACCTGTTAGCAGGGCTCTCCCTGCCCTAGCTCCCAAATGGAGAAGACGGTGTCAGAAGTTGACATGGCTGTTTCAGAGAAATCCCAGAAAGTAGCATGCTCTTAACAAACACCAGTCCTGCATGGTCACTTATTTCTGGTTCTGCTAGACCCAGCTCTGAGCAAGCAGAGGCTGAAATAAACTTTCACCTTCTCCCTAAAGGCATGGTAATGATTCTTGCCAAAGCCAAGGCTGTGCCTTGTAAGCTGGCTTTGCAAAAGAAGAAAACAGCACCCATTTTTTCAGCCTGATTTAATAGCATCATTTTGGTTTTATGCTTCTGGCAATGGCTGGTCCTGTAAAACAAGTGTGTAGCTGAGGGAATCACGTGCCAGTCTACAGTGGCAGAACACAGCTCACAATCACTACATGCTATGCAAAGGATTTCTGTCACCCTGGACACACTCTGCTTCCTGTGGCATCACTAGCACCATCCCTCTGTGCTCAGCTCTAAATCATTTTGCTACATCATCAAATAACAGGGTATGGCTGACTGCAGGCCAGGAGGACTTGGTGTTCACTTACTGCACAGCTTCGGAGCAGGGCCTTCTCCTGCCTTCCTGCATCTGTTTTCTCATCTGTGAAATGGGAATTTTAATCCTAATCAGTTTGCAAGGGAAGCAGTGAGGGGCAGTAAAGGCAATTCTTTAAAATGTAATAGTCAGCCTTATGTGCTGGGTTAGACATTGGAGTGGGTTTATGGTAGAGTTTAATTGATGCCTGTTCTGCTTATGGCTGGTAAGTTCAAGGCTTAATCTTTGCTCTCAAAAATGTGGCACCCTGTTTGAGATGCAAAGGATGCCTCTGCAAGGAGCACCTCATCTCTGAGCATAGCTGGGCTGGGTTTTGGTACCCACTAATTTCTGGGCATTGCTTGTTTGAATTTTCTTCCCCAAATTAATGTGATTATTAATTATTATGAGATCAATTTATAGTAAAAGCTGTGTCTCACATGGCTGGGAGGAATGCTTTGGCTGTTCCTAACCTTCAACCTATGAGCTAAGCCAAGGTTGTGTTGTCACATCCTTGAGACAACTCTTGACTGTGTATGTCATTTTGCTGGCAGATCTTCACCAGGGTGTGTCTAGAGGAGACCAAAGATCTTGACTTTATTTTAGCTTATTAGAACTGAGATGGCAGTACTGGCTTCTCTGCTCTGTTTCCAGGGTCAGATCATTGAGTGGTGTAAATCAGGACCCTCCCTTTCGAGCAGTGCTGCTGAGATACTGTCTGTGTAAGCTGAGGGCCTGGTTCACACATTCTGAACTGCTCTAAGACCTCTCCAAAAGGGAGTTAACTGTGTTCAGTGTGTTGCACTACCTGTAATCACAAATGATCCTGCAAGGTTCAGGATATTGCAAACGTAGAGAGCTTTTCAGCAAGTAATAATTTTGAGATTGCTGGAAAACTGAAGAGTTAGTGCTGCTTAAAGGAGAATAAAATAAGCATTAGCACAAAACAGTTTTTGCAACAATCAAGTTTGATGTATGTCCTATTCTGCTTATAATGTTTCCTCAGAGCCCTTTGCAAGAAGGGGGAAGCAAGCTGTAAAAGCTGGGATTGTAGGGAAGAGCTAAATTTGCAGCCAGGGTTTTGAAGGAACAAACAAAGAAAAGCATATTTCCATTTCCATTACAGCAGAACATTCTTGGGAGTTCAGAGCAGCAAGCTGAGAACACACCAGCCAAGCCACCTCAAAACAGGAGGTGTGGAGCTGCAATGAGCTTTTTATCCTCAAGCATCTGCACTTAGGAAAGAAAGATCTTCCTTAGACTTTTCTCCTCTTTTTTGAGGGAGGGTCTGTTTCAGAGTAAGGGAAAGGGCTGGTCTGCAGCCCTCTGAGTACAACTCTGCAAACCTGAGTCTAAATTCTGCCAAACCCCAGAGAAATCTGAACTCCTCCATGCAGAAAGCCAGCAGAGCATCCTACCCCTTTCACACCCTATTCCAACACACCTCCTTCTTGCTTCCAAGCACTGCAATGTCCCTGTACTGACCCTTCCCCACACTAGTTCTGCTTTAATCAGTCAAAGAAACCTGTGGAAAAACTGGCAGCTCAGACGAGAGCTTTTGTTTGTAGAAAAAATGTTTTTGTCCAAGCAAGCACAACAATCTCATTACTTGGAATAGGCACACATATGCTGGAATCCTAGACAGCAGACACTGTCTCCCCTCATCCTTTGTAGGACCAGAAAGATTTCTGCCTCTTTGATTCAGCTGCAGTGCTACAAAGTTATTAGCATTGCTTTTTTGGTGTCCCTAATGAGACAAGCCTCTTCCAAGCAGCTCCACAAAAGCACTTTTCTCATCGCTGCTAAAGCCTCGGACACTTTACCCTCAGCAGAAAAAAGTGTGGAGATTTGCAGCCCTGCTGCTTCCAGTGCTGGTTGGTCGTAGCAATTAGCTGTTTCCCCACAGATCAAGCTTCTTGTACAGAAAGACAGCACAGAGAAAAACTTGTCCTGCTGAAAGAAACTTGTTTAGGAATCTCTAGTGAATCTGAAGGTAAATCCATTCTCTTTGGAACTGTTTGCGTGCATCCTGCAAGCCTCCTGTGTGCCTGCTGGATTCATGTGCCTTACAGGAGGGCTGACTCTTTCCTGAGGAAGTACCTTTCCCTGGCTTGGCATACCCCAGTTTTATACACCCAGTTCCAAACTCTCCAAAGGGGTTGGCTTTCCTTCCTCCATTAAATGATGGGCATATCCCTGCCTGTAAGAGCCTGTTCTTTACCTACAGACCACCTTTTGCAGTGTGGTCCTGCAGTCATTTACGTATGGAAAGCAGTCTCTGAAAAGGCCTGTAGCACAGTTTTGTGAGTGCAAAAGCTTTCATGTGATTAGGTGATGCACAGATGCCTGTGCATGGCTTTTAGAGAAGCGTTCTGGAGAGGAACAGCCCTCATGCTGTATCTCTGGTGCGTGCCTCAGAGTACTGAGGCCCTGAAATGCTTTGCTGACCATTCTTGCTCTGTGTCCAGGTTCACCAGACTGTGGGGCTGGAGTATGTTCTTGGCATTTCGCATTTGATTGCCTTACCAGCCCAATTTGGGCGGAGAGGATGTAATTCCTCTTGATACATTTCACTCCCTATGCATCATGTTAACCAGGTGGGATTGGTGGGTAAACCCAGGAGTGGTGGTGGGGGGGCAGGAGCCAGCCCAGCTTTTTGAACACAGCTCCTTGGTGCTGTAGTTCACAGGGAGGCCCTGATTTTGTGCACGTCATGTCAGAGCTGACATGACAAGTGTTGCTCAGGCATTGGAACAGGCTCCTCAGGGAAGTGCTCACAGTTCCAAGCCTAGCAGAGCTCAAGGAGCTTTTGGACAATGCTCTCAGGTACATTTGTGTGATTATTGGGGTGTCCTGCACAGGACCAGGAGCTTGATCTAATTCTATGAGCCCTTCCTCAGGACTGTCACCACTGAGATTTCCCTGTGCTTTTGTCCTCACCCAGGTTGGAGGACACACCATGCTGCCTATCCGCTGGATGCCTCCGGAGAGCATCATGTACAGGAAATTCACCACAGAGAGTGACGTCTGGAGCTTCGGGGTGATCCTCTGGGAGATTTTCACATATGGGAAACAGCCCTGGTTCCAGCTCTCAAACACAGAGGTACAACAGTGCTGAGACACCTCAGATGAAAACTGTATTTTTTTGCTGTCTCTCCTTTCCAGGTTGTTTGCAACAAAATTTGTACATGGATGGTCCCCTCCTTGGCACTCCCATGGTTAAGCCATAGGATAAGTGTCATTATCTCAGTTTAAGAGCTGGGAAAACTGAGGCCTGCAGGAATCAAAGAGCTCTGCCAAAGCCATGTACTGGCTAATCCTCAGCCCCTTGCTGCTAAGTTCCTGACGTATCTTTCATATCTTATAAACTCTTGGGGTGCTGCCAGAACTGGGGATACCCAAATTACTGCTGGGATCTAAGTCATGCCTTGAATTTCCCTGGTTCCTCCTTTTGCAGCTAAAGCTCACTGCTGGCTCCAGTTTGTGAGAAATTGTTTTAAGCTTGACATATCTCATGTGGCACATTTCCTTGGGGTGTTTGCCATTGGGATCTCTATGATATGGTTTGCCCCAGTTCACTGAGGGTGGAACCCATGGAGATTGTTTGCCCTTATTATTTCTTTGACTAGCAAAAGTTGCAGCCCACCAGGACAGGACTGCCCTGTAAAAACGTTGCAGGAAGGCTGGCTGGGATTAACAGGGCGTCACTGCTGAGGTTTGAGGCACATCAGCAGAAATGCATTGGAAAATTTTTGCTTGGAATAGCAGGAGGTATTATAGAGAGGAAAAAGATGCTTTGACATAGCAGTGTGTGGGAACCTTGAACATTTTTATCCTACTGTGTATCTAATGGATTTCAGAAATTTCACCTTTTGTAATGAAAAATGTGCATTTTCTGCTTTCTGGATACAGATCCCTTAATTAAGTGAGTTGCAGAGATGGCAAATCCAAGGTGTTGCTTTACAGCTCTAATACTTGCCCATTCGTGTGCTCAATAGGGCCTGACTGTACATCCCAAAGTAGCACACGCAAACATTTTAGAGGCACAAACAATGGAATCGACAGCGACAGAAGTTATTTGTCACGCTATTTAATGAGCTGCTCTTGCATTTCCCTGTGAGGGCAAATACAAACACACACAAATGAGCACATGGAGCTTTAACATGGGCAACAGGCACGCAACAGGAGTGTGACAGCTCAGCTTTGCCCGTTCATTCTGCCTCAGTTTCCTTTGCAGGGCAGTAGGGCTGAAAACAGCTACCCTTAATTTCGAGGGTGTCTTTGTTTGCTACCATTTCTGGGATAAAATATGATCCTTCCCTTACCTGTTGGTGTTTCCACTTCTTTCTGCCTGCTGACCACGGCATCCTGGTGGAATACTTCTGTGGGAGGGAGCCACATTAGCTCCCACCAGTCTCATTTTTCACAGCTTGTGGAGGGATGGGCAGAACCTATGTGGCTGCAGAGGACTGACACCTCCACCAGCTCCTGGATGCTGTGGCAGCCCAGATGCAGTGCCAGAGCCCCACGGAGAGGCAGAGCCCATGGAGGGACAGGTCAATGAGCCTGTGCCAAGCTCCTGGCTGCCAGGACTGGACCAGGAGCAAGCATCAGGCTGGCTGAGCATCTCTCCTGCTGGGTGTTGGTGTTGGCAAGGCTGGGATGCCACTCCCTCCTGTGCCACCTACATGGCCTCATACCCCCACAGCATTTTCAACATGTTTTTCCAAGGCTGGGAAAAACCGTCTCTGAGCAGAGGAATGAGGCAGGGCACCACTCAACCAGTCCATTACCTTCTCTCTATGCCTTTCCTTCACCCTGGAGAGAAAGAGCCCAGCACAGGGCTCCTGTGCATGTCCAGGATGTCTTGGCAGGAACCATAACTCACCTCCTCCCCACAGAGAGCATCCAGCAGCTCTGTGGCAATGCAGGCTTCTCTTCATGCTGTGTCTTGCTCTCATTGCTTTCAGCGAGTCCTAATCTCTCCCCTCTGTATTTATATGCAAATAGCACAGTGATAAGTATCCCTTGAGCTGCTTGGTGGGATCATTGCTACTCATAAATGATAAACTCTAAACACCTCTTGCTGGGTGGCTTCCCTGCACACACTGCCTGGGACTGGTGTTTATCTGCAGAGCGTGGCAGGCTGCTCGCACGCAGCAATGCTGGGACTCATCAACCCCAACCAAGGAGGCCAGGCAGTAATAGCAGCTCTCTGGAAACTCATATTTCCCTTTCCTTTTCATTCATTCCTCCAGTAAACAATACACAAAGAGACCCTTAGGGGAGTCCTTTCCAATGGCATCCCTCCGAAGAGACTTTACTGTTATCCAGGACCTCACATTTTTCTCATTAGCAGCACCAATCTGACCCAGAGGACAGTGATAGCACTGTAAATTTTTTTTTCTCCTTCATAGATGTGATTTGACATGAAATTTCATTCTTTTAGTTGCTTTTCTATGTCAGAAAGAGGAGAAGTATGTAGAAAAAGATGCTCTGAACTCATCCTTATAAAACTCTCCTGGGCTTTGCAATGGAACGGACTCTTGGTTTTCAGACAAGAAAAATATCATTTCAGCTGTGCAAAATATTACTGTACTTCAGGGATTTTAAGACTTTTTTCATTCTTCATTTAGCGGGAAAAACTGACATAATAAATTAAAACCTATTTCATTTGCTTGTGACCTCTTCTTTGGAGAGTGCATTGAGGTAGGTAGGTGTCAGACGGGGAAGGTTTTTGGGATCTGAAAAACTGCAGCTGGAGACAAACTTTTCATGGTAAAATCATCATTAGCAACAAACAGGTGATCATTGAGGATGTGCAGATCTGAGATTTGGTTTCTCAGTGCTCCCATTGACTAGATGGTACCACATCAGCCAAGCAGTATCAGGCACAGGACATCCTCCATAAACTGCCCAGCTGGTATTCAGTGTTTCTTTTCTTTCTTTCTTTCTTTCAGGTCATTGAGTGCATTACCCAAGGCCGAGTTTTGGAGAGGCCCCGAGTCTGCCCCAAGGAGGTTTACGACATCATGTTGGGCTGCTGGCAGAGGGAACCTCAGCAACGGCTCAACATCAAGGAGATCTACAAGATCCTCCATGCTCTGGGCAAGGCCACACCAATCTACCTGGACATCCTTGGCTAGCAGTGGCCACTTATTGGAAGTCCCTGCTCCTTCCTCCTGTCCTTCCTTCCCTCTCCCCCTCCCAAACCCTTTTCCCCTCAGCTCCCAAGCAAACATCTTCATATAAACTCAAGTGCCTGCTACACATACAACACTGAAAACAAAAAAAAAAACAAAACAGAAAGCAAATCAACAAAAATCCCACAGAACAACCTGTAAGGCAGTTTGGCTTATATATATTTATAGATATCTCTCTATATAACTTCCACACCAATACAGAAAGAAGCTGCTGTTACAGAAAATTGTGAGACTATATGTAAAAAAAAAAAAAAAAAAAAGAGAGAAAGAAAGGAGAAGGTATCTTTCCCCCGAGCAATCAAGCAGTGAAATGCAACCCTGCTGTGAGTATGGTTCGGGCAGCTGGGCAGGGCTCTAGGCTGGCTATGGCAGCAATGCCATCCTGGGTAGGAGCTGCAGGAAGAAAGCCTTGCCCTGGTTGTATGATATGCACTGAATGTGTGAAATCAGTCCTCCCTTTTCGTCCTTGCCTCCCTCCCTCCTTGCCAGCCCGCAGGTGATGGGCACAAAGCCAGGGCAGTGCCCCTGGATGAACTCTCTTTTACCAACCCCATCCTCTTAGTCCCTCCTCATCCCTTTCTGCCTTCCTGCCTTTTTCCTCCCTCCAACATTTCAGGACAATTTTTCTAATTTGCTGATTCTTAAATGTATAGACTCAAGGCTTTCGAACACACAGTCAAAGGATTGTGGCACCTACGGGTAAAACACACACGGGGGAGCAGCCGCCCTCCCGCAGGCTGCAGGTCCTGCCCCAGCCCTCCTCTGCCCCAGCCCTGCTCTGCCCCAGCCCTCTGCCAGTGCTGGGAGAGCAGCAGGACCAAAGCAGCTCTGCCTGGGAGTCCAGGGCGGGTCCCAGGGACCGGGTCCTGAGTTATCCCCAACCCACTCCAGTGTGTGAGACAGGAGTGCTGCTCACCCAGGGCGCCCAGTGCAGGCGTCACTTTGGAGGAACAGCCCCACTCCTCCCCACCCTTGTGGCTGTTAGTGGCCATGGGGTTGGTTAGTGGCCATGGGGTTGTTCCCCTGCCCTCAGCTGTCTGCACCAAGGCCAAATTGGCCCCCGGTGTAAACTTTTAGTGAGCAGAGTTGGATCCTCGCTCTCCTCATGGGGGAAAGGCTACAGGATGCACACAGCTGAGAACATGCCTGCAACCCCGCTGGGCATTCTGTGGGGTCAGCATATCCCAGTGCTCTTCCCCTCCATCCTCTCCCCTTCCCCATTCCTGCCCCATGCCTCAGCCCAAGCCTCAGGCACAAGCCAGCGGGGGACAGGGAGGGGGACCAGGCTCGTGAGATGGCTGGGAACCTACCAACACCTGCCTGCAGCTCCCTTGCCATTCTCCTCACGTCCCCATCCCCTGAAAGGATTGATGCATCTGCCTTTGAGCTGTTGTGAAATGCAGAGGCTGAAGAATAGCTCCACAGGCAGCCCCGGGAGGAGGGGGGAAGGAGGGGAAGGTGCCTTCAGGAGCAGACGGCTCAGCGGATGGCCGCAGCGGCCAGCCTTGCATCTCAATGAGGAGAAAGGCCTGACAGGCAGCAACAGGGGGTGCTGGGGACAGGCAGGGAGAGACAGCAGCATCCTCACTATGGCCGATCTCCCCAGAGCAAAAAATAATCCCGACCTGGGGAAACACTCAGTCGGATGCTGGATCCTGCCTGTCCGGACTGGGATGAGAATACAAAACCTTTCTGGGCCTTTTTTTCATATGGATAATGGAGGATGAGGGGGAACCTCAGCTTGGCAGCTGCTCTCAGGAGGCAGGGAACGGGCGGCACAGGCATTGTCAAGGCAATGTTGAGAAGGCAAAAACTGCCAGCACAAAAATAGCCTGATCGGATGTGGCACTTGTGGAGGGCAATGCAGATGGGGGAAGAGGGGACAGAGAAGGGATCTTGGCTCCTTCCCCATGGCCAGAGTTATGTTCATGCAAGGGGACCTAGGTGACTGGTTATGGCTTGCACTGAAAGGGAAGATCTTGCATCCTTTCCCCATCCCCCATGTCTCCTGACAATCAATACCTCTCACTCATGGCACTGGCATGACCTGTCTGATGGTTTCAGACAGAGGCAGGAGACACTGCCAAAGGAGGATTGTGGTGGCAACAGCAGCTGTGAGTTTATTCTGTGTCTGTGTAATGTGCAGTGAGAGCTTGGGTAGGAGATGGTGGGTGGCAGTAGCCACGTGGGAGTGAGGACATAACTTTCCTCTGCCTGTTAGAGAGATCTGAGCTAGTGGGACAGACTCGTGCCTGTGGGGCCTGGACAGACTGCCATTGAACAGGCACCAGGTGCTCACAGCATCACCAGCGATGGCATGGTCATGGACAAGGCTGTGGGCCAGAACCAGGAATCCACACACAGGAATGCTGTACCTCCATAGCAGGACCTTGCTCTTTTGGCAGAGGATATCCTGCCTATTTAGGTTCCACTTTGAAAAGGGAAAAGACTGGTTAAAAGGTTGCTGGCCACAGCCTGGCTCCCTTTTTGTGCAGGCTGCTTGGCTGAAAGGGTTGGAGATTCAGCACAGGGAGAGAACAAGCAATGGCTGTTAATTGTCCACCATCTCCAGGAGAAAACCCTTTCCTGGGGTGGCCTGTCTCTTACCCCAAGTGGCTTCTTGTTCTTGTGGCTCCCAGGCACTGTACTAGATTGTGCAAGGCCACAATTTGTCCACCCATCTCTCTCACTCCCGTGCTGTCATTTCTTTTTTTGCTTTTACACTACAAAGTCACCTACAGACACTGGTTCCCAGCTGATGAGATTCCCTCATCACAGCTGCACAGCAGCTACATCCTCCCTTCCTCACTTCTTTCCTCCTTCCCCTCCTCCCCAGCACCACTACCCTGTCCCTTTCACCACCTCTTTGTACTGTCACAGCAACGAGGTGAGCTCAGGAGCCAAGTGTGACACCGAGCATATTTAGGATTAGGTGGCCTGTGAGGAGAGTTTATGTGCCCCCAGAAGATGGCAAATGACTGAAGAAGGTGGTGAGATGCTCAGGCCCTGACTGTTCTGCTCTTAGCCCCACCACGGGCAGTGACTGCCTTGGAGAAAAGTCCTTTTGTCAGAGTTAATTGTGAACTGTTGCTCAGAAGAGCTGGGTACGCTGCACTTCTGTGCTGTGACATCTGCTCTGTTGCTGCTCTGGCCCCCTTGGCCTGTCATTGTTGGATGGAGGTTTGTTGGGAGCAAGGAGAAGATTGCTTTTTGTTCAAACACATCATAGAAACTGCTGCATCCCTTTTTGGCATGACAGTTTTGGAGGGGAAGAGGGAAAGCAGCTGTGCTGCATTCCTGGTGAACACCCTGAGACCTCATTTCCAGAAGCACCTTTCCTGGAGCAGAAGAGATCTTCCCATCAGCATGGACTGGTGATCTTCCCTGTAGGAAGAGGGGCTCTGCAATGGGGCAATGTGTGAGGAGAAGAAAAGCAGATTTTGGGGGAAACTCTCACAGAGTATCAACATCTGAGTGTTTGGAGTCAAAGAGAAATGAGTTCATGCTTCTTTATTTCTCAGAGAGATACTTCCCTATGCCCTGCCTCTACCCAGAGCAGAGAGCTATCCCTGCTGCCTGGGAACATGTCTCACCCAGCTCTGGGACAAGCCAGGCCAAATTCCCAGCACATCCAGGCAGACCTTCCCACCACCCAGCCTCTTCCATCTGCAGTTTTCTCAAGGGACTTGTGAAAGGGAGCTGGAAGGAACACCAGTCTGAGCACAGCTGAGAAGGGGCCATAGGGTCTTTCCTGTCCCAGCTGCATGCTGCTCCCTAAAAATTAAAATTGTTTGCACTAACTCAGTCACCCAAGGGTGTAACTGAAGTGATGCTTTCTTGGAAGTGAAGGTGCTATTTTGGTGCATGGTACAGGTGGAAATTTTGTGCCAGGGCTGCAAACTGCAGGCAGTGAATGTGGCTCCAGCCTCAGGGTCTCATCAGTGACCTGGTTTGTTTTCTCCTGCCATTATTTTTCTTTCCACCCCACTCTGTCAGGTTGCGAGGCAGAAGCTGAAATGTAGCAAAGGGAAGAGATGCAGAGATCCACCAGACTGAAAGTCCATCCTGCCTCCTGCACAACTTGCCCAACTGGCCTTTTTAGATGTCCCTCAGTGCATGGATTCTGGGGGGTGAAAAAGTCTGAACTGCCTATCCTTGCATCTGCAGGGTGTTGAACTGCAGATGGGTGACTCTGGGAACTGTGCTGCCCAGACAAATGTGAAAACTGTGGAATGCCTTTAAAGAGGGTGCTTGCTTGAGAGACATCCTTAGCTCTGAGCTGTTTGCTTGTCCCAAGGAGTGGGTGGAGCAAGGTGAGAAAATGTGTGGAGGAATAAAAGAGCCGAGGAAAGGGAAAAGCTGATTTTAGAAGGCAACCGAGTATCTTGGGTTGGGAAATCAAGACAGATTTGGGAAGTGTGGTATAGAATTTTAAGTAGCACAATGGATACAAGCAAAAACAAAAGAAAATGGCAATGCACTGCAGCTCCAGGAAAAGTTAGCTATGAAGCTGGGCAAATACTGGCTTAAAAAGGAGGCAGAAACCAATAAAATCAAGGGACCATTTACACAGGTGGGAAACAAAATCACTAGGTTTTGTGCTTTTCTGTGGATTTTGTTTTGTTTTTTTTTTTTCCTATAAGAAAATGCAACTAAAAGAAGGTCTCAAAAATTATGATGTTTCAGGGACACAAACAGAAGAATAATATTATTTGAGCTGCTTCCTTTCACATGAAAGGCTCTTATTTCCCAGAACTCAAATGTATAGGTTTCCTTAGTTCAGGATATGGGTCAAAGAATGCAGACATGTTCACCACAGGCACCCAAACCCAAAGGTAGTTTGCAATACCTGATCAGCACTCATTCATATGCCAGTCTGTGTGAAAACTGTTCAGCATATTATCTTAAAAACGTTTGAAAAAATCTTTCTCATTTCCTCCCTCCCCAGGGAGTATCTACATCCTTTCCTGATCTGGCCAGGAATCAGCTGAAGCACTGCAGCCATGGCTTGTACCCAAAGTTTTTGTAACAGCTCTAGGTGTGTTCTCTGGTTGTAAGGCAATGATAAGAATAAACAAGGGGAATAAAGGAGATCCCGGCTGTGATACCATGCTGTGGTGGCTCCTCTGATAGCTGGAAGGCTCTGGAAATTAACAGGGCTCCTCTGCTATGAGACTCACAGGCACAGGTGTGTCTTGGTGCAACCCAAAAGTTTTGTTCTCCATTTACGTTCAGTGGCTTTCTGATGGATGGTGGGCTC